TTTCTTTCTTTCTTTCTTTCTTTCTTTCTTTCTTTCTTTCTTTCTTTCTTTTTTCTTTCAAATGCTGCTGTGATTTCCATCACCGGCCAACAGGTCCAGGAGCTGCTGGAAGCAGAAGGGAACTGTTATTGCAGACGCCACTTAGTGAGAGACTGCAGCAACCCTCCAGTTTACTGCTGCTGACAAGCAGCGAAAGTGGTCTAATATATACTGTCTGCTGGTGCCCTTTAAATTCTGTTTTGGAGTTCCAAGACAAATAGGCCCTCCCACCTCCACCCCAGTGCATCAGGATGCTTTCAGGGAAGCACCGTTGAGAGGCTGCCATATTTACTTGTCTCTGTGTTTTGATAGCAGAGGCAGCAGCCCAGCTTCAGGCTGAGTTGTGGGAAGACAGCCAGCGGATGCTGATGAAGAGCCTGTGGGGAAGGATAGAATCCCATATAAGCCAAGGCTGTCAAACTCAAGGCCCGCGGGCCAGATCAGGGTGCTTAGATCTGGCCCATGGGGCCACTCTGGAAACAGTGAGGCGGTGCCTCTGCCAGTGAAAACTAGGTCCCAAGCTCCGTTTTCAGCTGCGACGGCCTCCTGCAATCCACTACCAGTGAAAACGGAGCTCGGGAGGGCCCTCTCGAGCTCCGTTTTCACTGGCAGAGGGTTGCAGGAGGCCATCGCAGCTGAAAACGGAGCTCGGGACCCTGTTTTTGCTGGCAGAGTACTTGGGCCACCACAGGCGCCAACACGAATGATGTTGAGCTGGCCACGCCCACCCTAGCCATGCCCACTCCCCCCAGCCCCCCGAGGCCAAACACAACCCACAATGAAATCGAGTTTGATACCCCTGCCATAAACCCCAAACAGGGTTAAGATACAGATACAGATTAACAGAGTTGGAAGGGACCTTGTAGGTCATCTAGTCCAACCCACCCTTCCCACCCAAGCAGACCCTATACCATTTTTGACAAATGGCAGTCCAGTCTCTTCTTGAAAGCTTCCAGTGATGAAACTCCCGTTCCTGCTTCGCTGGGATAAAACCAGTCTGCTGGGAGGTTACACTGAACTTGCAAAAGCGCTTTGTCTAGGAATAGGAAGGAGAGAGATTTGAATCATAGGTGTAATTCTGAATGCAGATAATCGTTGAAATAAAATGCTGGCTGAGCATCAGTCGTTCATCAGCCTTTATGGCCAAGGGATGTGGTGTTGACTTCCCTGGCCCACCATGGCAGATATGTTCCTAAAGCTTCCCCAATACAGGTAGTCCTCGGCTCACGCCCACAATTGAGCCCAGAGTTTATGTTGCTAAGTGAGAAATTTGTGGTGAGTTTTGCCCCAATTTTGCGACTTTTCTTGCCACGTTTGTTGAGCGGATCACCGCGGTTGTTAAATTAGTCACCTGGTTGTTAAGTGAATCTGGCTCCCCCCCCCCATTGACTTTGCTTATCAGAAGGTCCCAAAAGGGGATCGCATGACCCTGGGTGTTCCAAGGAAACAAACACGAAAAGGAGGTAACAGCAAAACCTTTTAATAATTCTTTATGAATTCAGTTCCTTCCCGGTTAAAAGGCTGTTTCAAACTAATTGTCTCTGATAAGAACGAGCCTTGCCAAGGTTGTGCAAGGCTGCCAAGAACACTTGATAAAGTTACTGTGAAATATTTCAAACACAAAGAGTCTCCAAACACCAACCAAGATATTCTGAATGTCCACAAGGCTTGAGTGGAAAAAGTTATTTGCTTCCCGTAAAGAATCCCACCTCTGAGGGCTGGCTTTTATCCCTTAAGGGAGGGGCCATCACTGTGCAGCCTTACTCCCGTGTCACCCATGCTGCTGCAGTTGCTCTTTCCTTCGAGCAGCCCTGTGTGCATGCACACTGGGCACAGGCTCCTCAGGGACCTCTTCCTCACTGCTGCCAGCCTCCACAATCTCCGAAGCCAGCATTCCACTCCCTGATGGTCCTGGCCTCATCCCTACCTCACACGCAGGCCCCTCATCTGAGTCCTCGCTCTCCGAGACCTAAGCTGTCCACACCTGCTGCCGGCGAACCACAACACTGGGACACTGCAACCGTCATAAATACGAGTCGGTTGCCAAGCATCTGAATGTAAATATGTGACCATGAGAATGGGACAACGGCGTAGAAATTGGTCATAAGTCACTTTTTTCAGTGCTGTTGTAATGTTGAATGGTCGCTGAATGAACTGTTGTAAGTTGAGGTCTGCCTGTATTGGTAGTCCTCAACTTACGACCAGTTGCTTAGTGACCATTCAAAGTTCTGACAGATCTCCCCAGGGCCGCTTACAACCTGAATTTCAAGCTTCCCTCCCTCCACACACAGAGGGAATGGTCACATGACCACATTTTGGACACTCGCCAATTGGTCCGCACTTATGGCCATTTGCAGCTTCCCGTGATCACATGCCCCCCCCCCCCCAAATTAACGACGTTATTCTCCCCTGGAAACCGGCATTTGCTTCTGGTTTGTGCCCCAAAATTCCCTTCGTGGACAATGGATTTGCTTAACAACCGCTGTAAAAAAGATTGTAAAATTGGGTGCAGTTGCATGGTGACCCACATAATGACCGGTATGACTTAAGACCATACTTCCGGGCTCAATTATGGTCGTAAGTGGTCATTTTGTGAGTGTGACCCAACCCTTGCTCTCCAAATGTTCTTGTTATGTACTTGGCCAAAAAAAAAATATCAAAAACAAAACCCAAATTCTCCTGTTTTAGCTGAAGGGGGCCTGGCAACACCCCTGGGCAAATTTCAGCGGCCATTTTAGGGAGGAGAAACATCAGGGTGCCATTCTAAACCACAACATTTTCTGGTCTGTTTTTGTTTTGGAGAGCATGCGGTGGTGGGGGTTTTTTTCTTTTTCCCTTTTTCTTTGTTCTTGTTTTATTTATTTTTCCCCCCTTCCCCTGTTGTTGATAAAATCTAAATGAAACAGGTATATAATGCCCGCTGCCTGTTCGAAAGACTTGAGCCATAAAAATAACAAATGGCGTGTATTTGCTCGAATGTCAAAATTATGAGTTTATTTTGTAATGATGTGCTCCTGCTTTCATGAGGTAAACTGGCCGTGGCAGAGGTGTTATTAGTAATATGGACCCAGCAGAGCAGAAACCCGAGTGACCGAGAGATCAGTGTATCAGTCAGGGAGAGGGCAAATGGGAAGAGACAGCGGGGGAATGAGAAATGCGGCGGCGGTGCCTGGCGCTTGGCGGAGATTAGGAGACGGGCCCTGTGCACAGAGGCTGGTGGTCAGAGGCGCCTGCTTGGAAGCGCCTTCCAAGGAAACTCGAGGGGGTTGTGCAGGTTTGCCTGGTGTGATATTTGCCCCCCTCTTTTTATTTTTATTTTCTGGAGCCAGGTGGGCAAGGTGGATTTCAGCCAGGTAGTCTGTTCCTCTGAAGCTGTTTGCTTCAGAAGAATAGATGTGATGCTCTGACTTGTTCTTGGCGGTACAACAAGGAGGATTTTTTAAAAACAATTGTATCAATGTAAAATGCAAAAATTAGGAACCTGAGGGTCCCGTCCCTTCCTCTTCCACTTCCTTTCCCCTTCCGTTCTTACCCTCCCCTTCCCTTCCATCTTCTCCCTTTCTCCTCTTCCATTATCCTTCCCTTCTCTTTGTCCATTTTCCTCTCCTCCCCTTCCCTCTCCTCTTCTTACCCTTCCATTCTTTTTCCACTTCCCTTCCCTTCTCTTTCCTTCTTCCACTTTTCTTCCCTTCTCTTCTTCCACTTTCCTTTCCTTCTTTCACTTTTCTTTCCTTCTCTTCTTCCACTTTCCTTCTTCTACTTTTCTTCCTTTCCCTTCGCTGCTCCCAGTTTCCGTTCCTTCTTCCACTTTCCTTTCCTTCCTTTCCCTTCTCCCACTTCCTTTCCCTTCTCTTCTTCCACTTTCCTCCCCTTCCCTCCTCTTCCACTTCCCCTCCCCTCCTGTCCTTTTTTCCTTTCCCTTTTCCTGGACTGGATATACAAACATTGTCATACAAGAATTTCATTGCATACGGTTGTCTTGTTTTTTCTTCGTATATTCTAATGCATGCTGTATTAGCCACTTTGTTGGTTTTCTATAGGTAGAAGGAACCCCCCAAAAAGCATTTGAAAGCTCATTGAATGCTTTAAAAAAAAAATCTGGTAATTTTCTTTTTATTGCCCCTTCTTTTGCACAGGTGCTTGGAAGAGAGGTGTACACTTCTAACAACCAGCTGGGTGGTATCCAGATCATGCATAACAATGGAGTGACCCACAGCACTGTGTGTGATGACTTTGAAGGTGTCTACACCATTCTGCTGTGGCTCTCATACATGCCAAAGGTATGCTTTCCTCCCCTTGTTTCTTTATTTAAACAATTTATACATCTCACAGCCGTGAACATCAACCAACAGTCAGAATACCTGACGAAAACTCCTACAAGGTCCCTTCCAACTCTGATTATCTGTTGTCTGTACATGCCAGTTGCCAAGCATCCGAATGTTGATCATGTGACCATGGGAATGCCACAGTGGTCCTAAGTGTGCAAAACGGTCATAAGTCACTTTTTTCAGTGCCGTTGGAACTTTGGCCACTAAATGAACAATTGTAAGTCAAGGACTACTTGTATTAATAATATCCCCAAAGAGGGATCCTCCCTCCAAACAGAGAACAAGACAGATGATTTCTATCTGACGTGGCTTTCTCCAGGATGGATATTTTGAAAAATGCGAACTATAAGTATGTGTAATGATGTTGCTTTCTGGCTTGTTTCTTTTGTATTAGAGCGTGTTCAGTCCAGTCCCGATGCTCATTGTGAAGGATCCGATAGACAGAACAATCGATTTCCTTCCCACCAAGGCTCCCTACGATCCTCGCTGGATGCTTGCTGGACGACCTCACCCAAGTATGTGGACCCCATCTGGGACACAGTGTGGAAGGGGGCACGTTATGTTTGATACCACCTCAATTATTTATCCTTTTTCATATTTTATAAAGCTGCTCCTTGTCAGGATTCTGGCAGTTACCCCCATTTAAACCATAAGTCTCGAGCTAAACGTTCAAAACTTAAAAAGGATTTAAACTGCCAGAATCCTGACAGCTAGCTGACTCTGAGACACATCATTCATTGTCATCCTTGACCCTGGTTTTCCCCCACCCCCTGGGTGTATCGTAATTCATATTCTCCAATGGGACACATCCATAGCCAAGAGTCATCAATCATGCTCTCCAGTTAGAATTTTGCGTGGAAGAAACTTCAGTCACCTAGTTCCTATCTTTGAAAACATTTATGGAATGCAGTTTCGGTTTTGCAAGCTGCTGCACTGCTCCCCCTCCCTTTCTGTTGGCCACTCTAAAAAGACCATAGAAATATTTTATGAGTTGACACTCATCTCATAGTCAAGTAACTTTGCATGGCCTACTGCAAAGTTAATAGCAATCCTGTCAACGTTCCGACTGAGAAACCCAACCAAAGCAGGCCCGGTCGAGACAATCCAATTTCTTAATGCAAAACTGAATTGAGTACTGTACATCATTTCTGCACTGATGAGGGCAAAACCAGATCTACCTAATTCCCCCGCAAACCCACATAATCTATCTATATAAAAATGAAATACCACTCAGGCATTATCACAAAATCTCCAGAACTGCAAAGCCTACAAACTTGAAATTTGGCACGTATGTTCCTCTTGGCTTCTAGGGGCTCAATAAGAAAGAATTTTTCGAAATGACCATCAGAGAATTAGTATTTCCTATATTATTATTAACATGCTCAGAGGTGGTATTCAGCAGGTTCTGACCAGTTCTGGAGAACCGGTAGTGGAAATTTTGAGTATTTCGGAGAACCGGCAAATACCACCTCTGACTGGAGATTTTACAGTATCCTTCCCCTGCCATGCCCACCAAGCCACACACACAGAACCGGTAGTAAAAAAAATTTTAATCCCAACACTCCTGATACTAAGGAGTTCTACTCCCCCTCCCCACCTGAAAAGAAATCTGTTCCAAAAGCAAAACACAAGCAGAGGAGAGGAATTTCAGTTTCAGTTTTACAGCATCAAGCAGCTTTAATACAGAACAGTTGAACTAAGCCACGCCTAGGCTCCTTGTTGTCTTCTTGTCACACAGCAAATACTGTTTCAGTTTCCAAAGAGCCCTCAACTCTCTCACACACTGACAGGATGCTAGCCAGATGAATACCGATGGAGGCTGGTAGGCAGAGGCAGAATTTCCCCCCCTTATTTTCCTCCCCAAAAAGTAAGCCTGACCACATAGTTCCGTAACGAAGCGCGGGTATTGAGCTAGTGAAAAGTATATGATTCTCCCTCCCCCCCTATTAGTGCAGGTCACATTGTCCAATTGAATGTCATTATATTGTTATGAGAAGAAGTCTCTGCTTTTGGCAAACTTCTGCCGAAGCGTCCTTGGCTCTCACGCTTGGGTTTCTTGAGCCTACATTCTGCAGCCTACATTCCATCTCACCCTTCCCTTCCCCCCGGGGTTCGTTGGCAAGCTGAGAAGCGATAATGGTTGCAACAGCGAAAGCACAGTGCGAGCTTGACAAATGCAGGTAGTCCTCGACTTACAACCACAGATGGAATCTGAATTACCGGATAATCTTTCAAGGGCAGCCCTTTGTGGAGTGCATTTCAGCAGTCCAATCAAGAGGTGACAAGGGCATGAGTGATTGCGAGTAAAGTCACAGAATATGCATCCTAAAACACTCTACACAATTATATGTTCTGTAATAGGAGCCTGGTGGCTTGCCTGGTGAGGAGGCTGGGTTTGGAGGTTAGCAAGCTCGCATTTGAGACCAGAGTGCTGCTGTGGGGTGGGTTGAGCTCTTGTCCTTCGCTCCAGCTCCTGCCGGAGACATGAAAAGAATCCCTAACAGGGTGTCACCTCAGGCAATATTGACATCACTGGCATAATCCTTTCAACCTGGAAGCACCTCGGTGCTTCAGACACGAGTGCAATATGATGTCCTGTGAGATATTTATTTATCTTATGATTCCTATTCACGGGACTCCTATTAAATTGCTTCAGACTGCCTGCAGGTTTAAGTTTCCAGACGTCTGTGTTGTTTATATATTCTAGACAAGGTTTTTTTTTTTTTGTTTTAACTCAGTTTGATGTAATAAGACATGCTAATATTTTGGAAAGTCAAAATTGCAGATCTTTTCTTGCATCTCAATAACATTGCAGGCCAGATTTAAGCAGCTACTTTTCAACAGTAGAGAAGATCTGAAACTATGAAAAATACGATGGATGAGGCGAGATTTATTTCAAGCTCATGGTTAAAAAGCGCAATTTCTAAGCGAAGGAAATATTTACTTTAATGCAGCTCGACAGTGCATGAATGCTGTTGGTTGAAATACTGAATGGTGCTTTCTGTAAAATGGGCTGCATTCCCCATTTTGGAAGCGATTTGAGTTTGAAGCAGTCTCTTGGAACACTAGATACAGATATTCACTTACAACCACAATTGGGACTGGAACTTCAAACTCGAAGCAACGCAGTCCTTCAGTAAAACATCACATGGCTAAATCTGATTTTAATGACTTTTTTTTTTGCCCTAAATGTTAAATGAATCATGAGCTAATTAAGTGAATCTGACTTTCTCCATTGACTTGTTGGAAACTGGTCATGTGATCAAAATTTGACTGCTTGGCAACTGATTCATATTTATGACGGTCGCGGAGGCTTGGAGTCGCATGACAAACCTTCTGACAAAGTCAAATAGGGAAGCCAGATTCACTTAACAACCGTGTTACTAACTTAACGACTGCAGTGATTCACTTAACGAATGTGGCAAGGAAGGACAAATCTCACTGAACAACTGTTTCGCTTAGCGACAGAAACGTTGGGGTCATTGTGGCTGTAAGTGGAGGACTACCGGTATTTTGTATGCAAATTGGCAGATTTCTCCCACAAATCAAAATATGAACCGAGGAAGTTACAAAGCCTTCTGGTTCCTACTTAGAATGAAACCGTTGATGAGGGTAGATTTTTTTTTTCCCCCTGACAATTTGGAGTCTAATGTTCTGCCCCTCCCTTGCTTCTCCCCTCCCCAAATCATCTTGCTGGCAATTAATCTGCCTTGTCTTGAACCTGCATCCTCCAAATGGAGTGACTTTGGTTTCTAATTTAGTAGAGGCGTTGAGGGAAGCAGATGATTTTACCCGATAAGTTAAGGGAGAGATCTCTTAGGTGAAAAGTTAAAGCCGTTTATTAGGAGAGATAGCACCGTGATATTCTTCAAACTGACGCTCAACACGAGGCCCCAGAATCGAAAGGATCAGCTCTGGACTCTCCGATGAAGAGATAATTTTAAAATAGATGGCCGCGTTTTACACCGGGGTGTATGTGCGTGGAGGGCAAACGGGTATATTAGAACATAGTAATTTCAAGTTTAGGCTTGATAAAACACTTTCCATTCTGTCGGAGTCAGCAAAGGTTGGCGTCCCTACATCTCCACTTTTAATTGGTTTTGCACTTGGCTTTGGGGAAAAGAAAGGACTTTTTCACAATTATTGCAAAACAGAAAAGGGAAGACACTGAGCTTCCCCTTCCTTCTTTCTTTCTTTCCTTCCTTCCTTCCTTCCTTCCTTCCTTCCTTCCTTCCTTCCTTCCTTCCTTCCTTCCTTCCTTTCCCTTTCTTCTTCTTCTTCTTCTTCTTTTTCTTCTTCTTCTTCTTCTTCTTCTTCTTCTTCTTCTTCTTCTTCTTCTTCTTCTTCTTCTTCTTCTTCTTCTTCTTCTTCTTCTTCTTCTTCTTCTTCTTCTCCTTCTCCTTCTTCTTCTTCTTCTTCTTCTTCTTCTCCTTCTCCTTCTCCTTCTCCTTCTCCTTCTCCTTCTCCTTCTCCTTCTCCTTCTCCTTCTCCTTCATCATCATCATCATCATCATCATCATCATCATCATCATCATCATCTTTTCTTCTCTTTTTGCAATGGTTTTCTAGACAATGTCTGTGCATTGGAAGATTCAGAGAAAGCCAATTCAAGGTAGTGGCAAGAGAGAAAGTTGGAATCAATGTTTAGAACCAGTTGGGTCTCGTGTTCTGTTCTTCAACATTAACCTGACCAGAACTCAGCTTTCTCTATTCCTAGTCCGGCCTCTTTATCCACTACGAGAGAGATTTTTTCAAACTTGGCAACTTTAACGGGGATGGGGGAGGAAGATCATGGATTTGTATTTGATTTCTGCTGATTTCTGTTCTGATGTTGGGACTCTAGAAAGGGTGCAGAGAAGAGTAGCAAGATGATTAAGGGGCTGGAAGCTAAAACATATGAAGAATAATTGCGGGAATTGGGTACGTCTAGTTTCATAAAAAGAAGGACTAAGGGTGATATGATAGCAGTCTTCCAATATTTGAGGGTCTATCACAGAGAAGACGGGGTCAACCTACTCTCCAAAGCACCAAAAGGCAAAACAAGAAGGAGAGAAGCAACCTAGAATTGAGGAGGAATTTTCTGACAGAACAATTCATCAGTGGAACGACTTGCCTCCCAAGTTGTGGGTGTTCCAACACTGGAGGTTTTGAAGAAGAGACTGGACAACCATTTATCTGAAATGGTATAGCATTTTCTGCCAGAGCAGGGGGTTGGACTAGAAGACCTCCAAGGTTCCTTCCAACTCTGTTATTCTTAGTTGAGCCACATTTTCTCACAAACTCCAGAATAACACTTCCTTCCCAAGACAAAGGCAATGTCAACATCCGGAAGGGTTGGGCAGCTTTGAGATCCTAGAGGCCTTTGAAGGTCCTTGCTTTGGATTCTCCTAATTTTGTACTAACCCAGTATTTTGAACATCGCTTTGTAGCTGGATTAATGGCAACATCACTAGGCCTCTAGGATTTCAACAGCTGCTCAAACATTCCAGATGTTGAGCCAGCCCTTGTCTTGGGAAGAGGTCCCAAGAGCCAAATCTGAGACCTTCAAGCAGCGTTTGGTGACCTCAGCAACTTTAAGAAGCCTGGACTTCAATTCCCACAATTCCCCAGGCAGCACGCTCTGGAATTCTGGGAGTTGAAGTCCAAACATTTTAAAGTTGCCAAGGTCGAGAAACATTACCTTCAAAGCATATGCCAGACTGCTGCGTGGTGTGGATTAGCACTCAAATAATCTGCCACCCCGCCACTGTCAATTATCTGTGTCTTAGTTGCCAGCATTGCCCATTTGGGCGGAAGAACCCTAATAACTTATCTTTAAAAGATAACACGTAATTTAGAAAACTGAAGACCCTTGAAAAACAACAGCTGTAATGCCTTAAGATTTCTTTTGAAAAATGCTTGCAGTGTCTTGAAAGAGAGGAGGGGGGAGGAGGGAAAACACCCTGTAGAGTTATTTATATAAACCAACACAAATTCCCTCTGCTACCCTCGTGCCCCATCATTTAACAATAACTGATGCTTTCTGCTGATAAATGGCCCTCTTTTTATGCAGACGAGCAAATTAAAGAGACAACCATTGGTGAGGGCAGGCAGACGGGTTTTGTCATTTTAATATGTCTCTCCTGGTGCAATTTGTTAAAAATGAGACGTTTGTTTCTTAAGGTGATCAGGATAAAATGTACGCTGATATCCAACCTGTTTGTGGCAGGGTGGATGGAAGTCCAAAATTGATACAGGGCGTTTATGAGAGATGTGTGTGTCAGCTTCTGAGAATAAGCAAAGTACAGCTGATAAGAGAGACTAGATAAAGATTTTTTTTGAAGAATAACAGAATAACAAGAGTTGGAAGGGACCTTGTAGGTCATCTAGTTCAACCCTCCCCACCCAAACAGGAGACCCTACACCATTTCTGACAGATGGCAGTCCAGCCTCTTCTTGAAAGCTTCCAGTATATGTTTTAAATGATTATTTATTTATTTGTGTCCTACCATTATTATTATTTTTATAAATAACTCAAGGCAGTGAACATATCCAAGGCATTTTCCTCCTCCTATTTTCCCCGCAACAACAACCCTGTGAGGTAGTTAAGATTTATAGACTAAATTCTTCCTTGACATTCAACAGCTATATTCGGACAACACGTTTACACAAGTCAGGAAAAGGTCTTACAAATTCACTTGCAAAATACATTGGCTAGGACAGTGTTAATCTGGGTTAGTTTTAAAGTGACTTAAGTTGTTGAAATCCAACCTGTGTGGTCAGTGCATTCTGTGAAAGGAGTACATAAGTTAATTCAGTGAATGAGTTAAACGTATTGTGTCCTGTCAGTTTCCAGCTGATCTTTGGCTTTTTCTGGACAAGTAAGCAAATTTACAAACATAGTAGTGACAGGAGGGCGATTCAACCGGTGTAACAACCGGTTTGGTGAGCGCATGGTTTGCGCATGCACAGAGCATTTGCTACTGACCTTCTCCAGCAATCTCTCTGTGTTAAAAAGCTGAGGTGCGGCAATCCGCTGTGCCGCACGAATCAACTGAGCTTGAAAACCAGGATATAAAGCACAGACTAGAACTGGGGCAGGCTGGTGGACCCAACAGCTGATCATCAGAGCAAATGAGTTCGCTCACAGCTGATCATCGGAGCTACCGGTTTGCCCGAACCGGTAGAATCCTACCCCTGAGTAGTGGGCTGTTGCTACACACCATTGTTTTCTAAAAAATGCTGGAGTGACCTATTGGGAACCTAAGGGCATTGTTGGAAATAAAAATGCCATTTCTGTTTTTAATTTTGCCTAATATTTAAGAAACTGAAAAACTGAGTGAAGCAGAGACCGTAATGTGGACATCAAGAAGAAACGGTGGGGATCTCACTGTTATGTAAACTTAGCCATTGCTTCTAAAGCACCTAATATTTATAAAGGTCAGGGGTATCCAATCTTGGCAACTTTAAGACCTATGAACTTCAACTCCCGGAATTGTCCCGTCAGCTCTGCTACCTGGGGAATTCTGGGAACTGAAGTCCAAACATTCAAGATAAGCTCTCAGTCCCATAATAGAAAAGAAGAAAGGAATGAGGGGAAGAGTGGACAAACTCTCTTTACTATCTTCTTACTGGACATCTTGGACATTGGAAAGATATCTATGGAGATTCTCAGCCATCCAGGTCATGGTTGTCCCAAAGGTGCTTTTTTTGGACTTTCTTTGTTTTTCTTTGAAGGCATTTTGCTTCTCCTCCAAGAAGTTTCTTCAGTTCTGAAGAAGCTTCAAGGCAAAACAAAAAGTTTTTTTTTAAAAAAAAAAAACAACAGTTGCCTTTTGCGGGGGAAAAACACCTTTGGGACACGGAAAGAAGATTCACCATTCCAGTAGAACTCAAGTCTTCTCTTCTGTTCTCCAAACCAAGATCTTCCATGGCACCAAGTAAGTTTCCAGTCTTCTTAATATTTCTCCTTTTCTCCCCAACTTTGTAGCTCAGAAGGGCCAGTGGCTGAGCGGTTTCTTTGATTACGGCTCTTTTTTGGAGATCATGCAACCCTGGGCTCAGACGGTTGTGGTTGGCAGAGCCAGGTAAGTTGTCAACTCAAAAATATTTCTCTGGTCTTTAAGAGTTGTCAGCAGAAAGGGAGTGGGGGGAGTAATGCATACCTTAGATAATTGCTAGGCAGCCGAAGCTTCTGGCGGGCAAGATTATTACTGGAGAGCATGATTGATGACTCTTGGCTATGAATGTGTTCCATTGGAGAATATACATCCAGGGGGTGTATGGTCAAGGGGGAAATTAATGATCTTAGAGTCGGCTGCACCCAGGTAACACTGACATGTTGACTCCTAATAAATGATTTTTTTAAAACTCTGAGAGATGCTCATGATTCGAATGGGGATGGATTGTCGGAGCCCTGACAGAAGTCTTTAAGAACATCAGCAACAGTAATAATCATGCGTAGAGCACGATTAGCAGCCTCGGAGCACTTAGGATTCTTGTTATCAGCATAAGAACCCTGTAAGATGGCAAGATAACGGAATTAAAAAAGGAATCGGGGTCATTCTGTGCTATTGGCAAATGCAAAACGCAAAATGACCGGGTTGCAAAATGTTTTGAATTCAAAATGTTCTGAGCCTCAGAAAGCTCTTTTGATCTTGACAAAAGGGGTTTTGATGCTAGTTCTAATTGTTTGGGACATGTTCTGAGCAGGAATCAGGAGCTGTTTCAGAACATTTTTCATAAGGCCAGGACCACTCACTTCAAGGCCAAAATGAGCCCAGTTGTAAGCCAAATACTCAAGACCCGTGATGGCGAACCTATGGCACGCGTGCTACAGGTAGCACGCAGAGCCATTTGTGCAGGCGCATGAGCCCCAGCCAAACTTACCTACACTGCGCATGTGCGCGCCTCCCAGCTGATTTTCGGCCATTTGAGGCTGTTTTCACCCTCCCAAAGATTCAAGGGAAGCCTACGTAGCCTTTGGAGGCCGAAAAACAGGCCCGTCCGTCACTTCCGGTATTTCCGGAAGGCCCATTTTTCATCCTCCCAAGGCTGTAGAGACTTCCCTCGAGCCTCTGGGAGGGCAAAAACGGCCTCAAATGGGCCGAAATCAGCTGGGAGGCACACGCATGCACAGTGCAGGTAAGGGGGGTGTTTCGCACGCATGCACAGTGCAGGGAAGGGGGGGGCACGTTGAATTTTGGGTGCCGGCACGCACACACTTTCAGCACACCACAACAAAAAAGTTTGCCATCACTGCTCAAGACTGTACATGATCCTTGTGGATCTGTAGGTATATTTTTGAACTTTAATAGAAAACATTACAGCTACAGTTTTAATAGAAAACATTACAGTCCTCAACTTATGACCACAACAAGCTCAAAATTTCCGTTGCTCATTGAAACATTTGCGAAGTGAGTTTTGCCCCATTTTATGACCTTTCTTGCCACAGTTGTTAAGTGAATCACTGACGTTGATAAGTTAGTAACCCGGTTGTTAAGTGAATCTGGCTTCCCCATTGGATTTGCTTGTAAGAAGGTCACAAAAGGTGATCACATGACACATGGGATAATGCAACCGTCGTAAATATGAGTCAGTTGACAAGTATCCGGATTTTGATGGGAATGCTGCAACAGTCATAAGTCTGAAAAACGGTCAGCAGTCACTTTTTCCAGTGCTGTTGTAACTTTGAACAGTCACTAAATGAACTGTTGTATGTCGAGGACTACCTGTGGTTTGTATTTAATCCATCATTTTGTATCCTTTTTTAAAAAAAAATTAGATCATAATGCTTTGTTATGGGGAAGTGGCCTGAAAAAAGACACTGCTGCTTTAAAGAGTCCAACTCATTAAAATCACTACCAGATATTAAAGTTACACTAACTGTTTCTCAGACTTGCAAGAAAGTTTGAAAAGAGAAACAGAAAGGAGTTGTGGAAACATTTCATCCAAGGTGGAAACGTTTCTCCCAAATCGTTTTCAAAGTGTGCACAATCCATGTCTCTGTGGGTCTGTAATCACACCCAATCTAGAATTTGGGTGGCTGATTACATCTATTTATGTAATTTGGCTCCTCAATATTATTATTTTATGTTCTTTATGTTCAGTTTAAGGGCGTGATGGCTCACCGGTTAAAGATGCTGAGTTTGTCAGCTGGAAAGCTGACAGCCCAGGTTTGACACCCAAGCATTTTGTGACGGGGGTGAGCTCCCATTACCTGCTCCAGCTCCTGATCACCTAGCAGTTTGAAAGCATGTAAAGTAGATAAATAGGTATCATTTTGGGGAGAAGGAGAAAGCATTCCATGTGCTTCAGTGTATAGTCATGCTGGACACTTGACCACGGAAATGTCTTTGGACAATGCTGGCTCCCTTGGCTAAGAAACAGCGATGAGCAGGGGTGTCAAACTCAATTTCATTGACAGCCGCATCAGGGTTGTGTTTGACTTTGGGTGGAGGGGGGGGCATGACCTGGGGCGTGTCCAGCTTGATGTCTCTCATCAAGGCTCCATTTTTGGCCGCAATGGCCTCCTGTAACCCTCTACCAGTGCAAATGGAGCTCGAGGCTTCCCTGAGCTCCATTTTCGCTGGCAGAGGGCTGCAAGAGGCCATCATGGCCGAAAAAAGAGCCCTGGTGGGCCGTGCACGGTCTCCCTATGCTCTGTTTCGGCTGGCAGAGGCACCATGGGCCGGTCCTTCGCTGTTTCCAGGGTGTGCCCGTGGGCCAGATCTAAGCACCCTGTGGCCCTGCTCTTGAGTCAAACACAATTGGACAGGGGAAATCTTTGCCTTTATCTATATTCAGTGTATTTTATAGAAACAATTTCGGCTGAGGGTTCTTCTAAGCATTACGCAGGTTTTAAAAACCACGAGCAGAGTTTCGAACAAAGCTAGGGAATGTTGCCTATGTGTTTAATATTGTGTTGTTGTTTTTTACTAGGCTAGGCGGCATACCTCTTGGAGTGGTTGCTGTTGAAACAAGGACAGTAGAACTGAGCATTCCTGCAGATCCCGCAAATCTAGACTCAGAAGCCAAGGTAAGCGTTGTTTCTAAGGTAGTGTTGTGGTTCGCCGGCAGCAGGTGTGGACAGCTGAGGTCTCGGAGAGCGAGGACTCAGATGATGGGCCTGCATGTGATGCAGGGGTGGGGCCAGGACTATCAGGGAGTGGAATGCTGCCTTCGGAGATTGTGGAGGCTGGCAGCAGTGATGAAGAGGTCCCTGAGGAGCCTGTGCCCAGTGCGCTTGCGCTCAGGGCTGCTCGAAGGAAAGAGCAATTGCAGCAGCCCAGGTGACTCAGGAGTAAGGCCGCAAGGTGATGGCCCCTCCCTTAAGAGATAAAAGTCAGCTGAGAAACCGGAGTTCTTTGCAGGAAGCAAAGAAGTTTTTGCACTCAAGCCTTGTGGACGTTTAGAATATTTTGGTCGGTGTTTGGAGACTCTTTGTGTTTGAAATATTTCACAGTAACTTTATCTAGTGTTCTTGGCAGCCTTGCACAACCTTGGCAAGGCTCGTTCTTATCAGAGACAAATAGTTTGAAACAGCCTTTTAACCGTGAAGGAACGGAATTCATAAGGAATCATTAAAAGATTTTGCTGTTACCTCCTTTTCGTGTTTGTTTCCTTGGAACAAGGTTTGGGTCTGTACAGGTGTGCAACCCACATATGGGCTGAAAACACCTGTATATGACCACTTGGGAAACATTAGATGCTTGGATTTTGGCATGCCAGATCTAGTAAGTCTGTTCTAATTCAAAACCTGTAGCGTCCTCTCTGAGCGTCATGGTTGGCTTGCATATATTTCATTCCTCGATTAAGTAACATCATCAGTGCAAGTGAGTGTGGGGTTTACTCCTTATTTACGTACCAGACTTTGCTCTACCTCCGTCGGTAAGAGTATGGTGTATTATTGATCTTCCCTCTTTCCACCCCCTGCCACAGATTATCCAGCAAGCTGGCCAGGTGTGGTTTCCTGACTCTGCTTTCAAAACCGCAGAAGCCATCAAGGATTTTAATCGGGAGGGACTTCCGCTGATCGTCTTCGCCAACTGGAGAGGTTTCTCAGGTGGAATGAAAGGTGATTATTGTAAAAAAAAAGAAAAGAAAAAGAAAAGAGGAAGGAGTATGGTGAGAAACTGTGGTGCTGGTAGAAAGCAGATGACAGGGACGATTATTGGAATTTAGGAGTGGGTTTAGTGGTGTCTGTTTATGGAGATTCTCAGTTCACCCAAGTCATGGTTGTCCCAAAGGTGCTTTTTTCAAGAGGCAGCTGGACTTTCTTGTTTTTCTTTGAGGATGTTTCTCATCCAAGAAGCTTCTTCAACTCTCACTGGTTGGTGGGGAATGGAAGGATTTATATTCCTTGTGGACAGCTGGTCATTTGCATTCCTTGGAGAGTCATTGAGTCATATGTGTCCTCAAGGTCTGGCTTGAAAGGGGGTGGTCCAAGAGGCCATCTATGTCCAAATTGAGCCGCCCTCTCTTAACAGAGGGGGAAGGATAGATATCATCTATCTCCAGTCGACAACATAGTCCTTTCAGTGGTTCCAAGAAGGCTCCACACCCATTTGCATCACTTAGATGACCCTGAAAAGACAGATAAACCTCCAAGTGGTCTCAAAACTCTCTAAAAAGGATGCAAATGACCGGCTGTCTGCAAGGAGTATAAATCCTTGCATTCCCCACCATCCAGTCAGAGCTGAAGAAGCTTCTTGGAGGAGAAGCAAAACGTCTTTCAAAGACCTGAGGACACAGATAAACCTCCAAGTGGCCTCGACGGCTCTCTAAAGGATGCAAATGACCGGCTGTCTGCAAGGAATATAAATCCTTCCATTCCCTACCATCCAGTCAGAGCTGAAGAAGCCTCTTGGATGAGAAGTGAAACGTCTTCAAAGAAAAACAAGGAAGTCCAGTTGCCCCTTGAAAAGAAAACCATCTTTGGGTTTAGTGGCGCAGGTAGTCCTTTACTTATGACCACCAGTGAAACCTGAAATTTCTGTTGCTAAGCAAGGCAGTTAAGTGAATTGTGCTCTATTTTAGGACCTTTATTTGCCTAGGTTATTAAGCAACCCATGGCAGTTATCAAGCATGTGGTCTTTAAGTAAATCCAGTCGCCAAATGAATAATTTTAAGTCGAAGACGACTTGTATTGCTATTCTTGTCTCATGTAAAAAAAAAATAAGTTAGATTGACTGGCAGACCAAAATTAATCAATGGCAGTGGGAAGATGCGGTCTGGTGGTTTTCCGTGTCAATATTTAGCCACTGTTTTACAGGCTGTCCTCAACTTACGACCACAACTGAGCTCAAAATGTCTGTTGCCAAGTGAATTTTGCCCCATTTTACAACCTTTCTTGCCACAGTTATTAAGTGAATCACTGCAGTTGTTAAGTGAGTAACACGGTTGTTAAGTGGATCTGGTTTCCCCATTGACTTGGCTTGTCAGATGGTCACGAAAGGGGACTACGTGACCCCTGGCACATTGCAACCGTCATAAATATGAACCAGTTGTCAAGCATCCAAATTTAAATCACGTGGCCATGGGGATCCTGCAACGGTTGTAAGTGTGAAAAATGGTCGTTAAGTCCCTTTTTTCAGTGCCATTGTAACTTCGAACGGTCGTTGAACGAACAGTCGTAAGTGGAGGTCTACCTGTACTGAGGATGGTTCTGGGCTGCTGCCAAAGTTCATACTGATACATTTAAAAAAAATTCACGGAGACAAATGGAGGCTCCCCTTTATTCATAGACACAAATGATCATAAACAGGAGAGGAAATCAGGGTTTGGTGTTCTGCACGCTGCCTGGGTCTCCAGCGACTTTTGAAAACCCTGTAGGATCAAATAGTTAAATGCTGGCATCACAACGGTGACTTTTGGCAGTGCCAGTCATGTTCCTTTTCAATTAAGAATGCAAAACAGAGATGTCAAGCTTTGGGGAGGCGAAACGCATCTATTTGCAGTAACCCTTTTGCCCCCCTCCCCCGGGGCTCTGAAAAATAAAACAAATCGGGCTGAAAACTCAGATGGCTTCCTATTTTATCATCATATAGGGAGTCCTCGACTTACAACCCGTTGGAAACAGAATTCCCATTGCTAAGCAAGGCAATTGTTAATCGCATTATAGCAGCGATGGGTAACCTTTTCGGCACCAAGGGCCCAAAGCGCGTGCGCATCCCCAAAATGCAATGCATGCACACACCCCGTGCATGCGCCCTGCCCCCTATGCATGTGCACATGACCCTCTGCGCATGTACATGCGACCCCATGTGTGTGCCCCATGCCCTGCACATGCAACCCCACCTGTCTGCCCCCCGTGTGTGCCACGTGCCTCCACGGCAGAGACTTGAAGGCCAGCTGGCCAGTGGGAGGTGTCCGCGCATGTGCACTAGAGCTGAATTGGGGCGACAGCTCACATGCTCAGAGAGAGAGCTCTGCATGCCACCTCGGGCACGCGTGCCTTTGGTTCACCATAACGGCACTATAGCAATAGCGACTAGATATGTATACCACCTCACAGTGCTTTACAGCCAGGGGTGGGATTCTACCAGTTCGCACCTATTCACTAGAATCGGTTGTTAATATTCTAAGCAGTTCGGAGAATCGGTTGCTAGAAGAAATTACTGGCCTAATCCTGTAAGGAAGGCAGGAAGGAAACATTCTGGTGTTGCTTACAGAAACTGCCTCTCCATTAACCCTTATTACATTCTTGGCAGGACTAGACTTCCTGTCTCAGGAACTTCTCTGGAGTTTTTTTCCCCTCCTTTGCTGTTACTTTGCTTGTGTGGAGTGACCATTCAAAGTTACAATGGCACTGAAAAAAGATTTTCAGACCATTTTTCACACTTACGACTGTTGCAGCATCCCCACAGTCATGAGAGGCCAGGCGAGGAGATGCATGCCTCGATGTGAGTGATATTGAGTTGGCCACACCCAGCCAATAACATGACCACCAAGCCACGTCCACCCGGTCACATGACCACCAAGCCACGCCCACCACCTAAGCCACGCCCACAGAACCGGTTGTTACAAATGTTGAATCCCACCCCTGTTTACAGCCCTCTCTAAGCAGTTTACAGAATTAGTGTCAGGGTTCCAAGTAATACACCCATAGCAAACAGTACTCCGAGGCAGGTGAATTCCTCAAAAAATAGTTTTATTGGACAGCCACATGGTCCAATCAAGGTGTCATCTGGTTGCCTGGTTACTTCACTCCTCCTCTCTCCAACCATCTGTGGGAATGCCCTTGATTCCCAAGAGAAACTCTTTTGTTTTGGCTACAAACTCCAGCTATCTCTACTCCCCCTCCTTATCCCTCAGCTCCAGTGTGGCAACACCGAAGCCTCAAAATGGCCTCAGTCAGGTCAGCTTCAGGATTGACAGTTAGCATATTTCCCCCAACAATCCAGGTCCTCATTTTACCGACCTCGGAAGGATGGAAGGCTGAGTCAACCTTGAGCCGGTGAGAATCGAACTGTCGAACTGCTGGCAGCCAGCAGTCAGCAGAAGTAGCCTGCAGTACGCGTTCTAACCACTGGGCCACCACGGTTAAGCAAGTTATACCCAATTTTACGACTCTTTTGCCACGGTTGTTAAGTAAATTGCTGCAGTTATTAAGTGAGTCATTCGAACAATAAGCAAATCTGTTTTCCCCCACGCTTGCTGGAACAAGTTGAGAAGGTTGCAATTGGTGATCACATGAACACTGGAATACTGCATCCAACTTTGGTCACCAAGATGTAAAAAAGATGTTGAGACTCTGGAAAGAGTGCAGAGAAGAACAAGAAAGAGGATTAGGGGACTGGAGGCTGAAACATATATCATGTCGGTTGCTGGAATTGGGTATGTCTAGTTTAATGAAAGAAGGATTAGGGGTGGCATAATAGCAGTGTTCCAATATCTCAGGGGCTGCCCCAAAGAAGAGGGAGTCAAGCTATTCTCCAAAGCACCTGAAGGCAGGACAAGAAGCAACAGGTGGAAACTAACCAAGGAGAGAAGCAACTTAGAACTAAGGAGAAATTTCCTGACAGTGAAAACAATTAATCAGTGGAATGACTTGCCTCCAGAAATTGTGAAAGCTCCAACACTGGGAGTTTTTAAGACGAGATTGGATATAACCATTTGTCTGAAGTGGTGTCCTGCCTAAGCAGGGGGTTGGACTAGAAGATCTCCAAGATCCCTTCCAACTCTGTTAGTCTGTTATGACCCAGGACGCTGCAACCATCATATATACATGCTGGTTTGCCAAGCGCCTGAATTTTGGTCATGTGACTGTGGGGATGCTGCAATGGTCGTAAGTGCAGGGACTGGCTGTAAGTTACTTTTTTCAGTGCTGTTGTAACTTTGAGCAGTCTCTATGAATAGTCTCAAGTCAAGGACTACCTGTATATCTCTGTAGCTTATAGTCTAACAAGAAGGAGGAAAATTGAAGGTTGGTCGGTGGCTGGTCAAAACACAATACCCCCTTGATCTCAAATCACCGCAGCAGCCTGCAGTCTGAAACTCAACAGGGGCTAGGAACCAGCAGAGTGGTTTGGGGATCTAATAGATTCTCCGCATGAAAAGCCATCAGTCCTAAGGTTTTGCCTTTCCCCTTAAAAAAAAACAAAAACCAACAACTTCTTACTTAGATATTATCCAGCACAGGCAGGTATAAAAACTCGGGGCTCGCGTTGTCAATCTCGCAGTTCCCCCTTGGAGAGTTGTTTGCAATTTCAGTTTCCGTGTTAGTCGGGCTACAAGGAGAAGGAGGAAAGGATTAAGCCGGGAATGAAAATAAACAATTATAGCACCCCTTGGTGAGCCTAAGAACACACAAATACATGCATATGTACACACATTGCTAAGAAACGGCTGCGCTGTGGGTAAAATGACTCTAAAATTGTGTGTAATGAGAAGGAAAAGATTAGAGGGAGCTTTTGCCATGTTGAGAATTGACATTAGTGGAGGAAGGGGGAAATTCTTTACAAGTCAGTGCAGGGGGTCTAATTTAGACTGGGGCATGTGTGTGTGTGTGTGTGTGTGTGTGTGTGTGTGTGTGTGTGTGTGTGTTTGCTTGCCATCCATACACATTGGCTCTTC